GCCCCCAAGCTCTACGGTGCCGTCCATCACGACGTGCCCACTGCCGGCGTTCCCGTGGAGCGTCAGTGTGCTTTGTGCGAGCTCCGCACCACGCGGGTACGACGGCACCGACAGAAGCCTGCCACTGACGCTGTTGCCGCGCACCGACAGCCACGACCCGGAAACAAACGACGCCGACCCCCGCAGCTCCAGCAGCGCGCCATCGGTCAGCGCACCGGCGTTGTCGTTCACTACGACGGCGGACGCGTTGGCCTCCACTCCGCTGTCAAACACCAGCCCATGCGCGGCGTACACCTGGCTCCCCGACACGCGCAGCACAGCGCCCCCAGACGCCACCACACGCGCACTCGCGTACAACGCATAGTCGCCACCGAGCACAGCCGCGTCCAGCGCAACACCGCCACCGACAAGCTCCAGCACCGCGCCGTCCACCACCACCGTCCGCCCACCAGTCATCACGGTCACGAGGGCCACGCCGTACACAACCAGCACGGACCGCACAAGCCGCAGGCCCGACAGCACCAGCACCGGTGCGTACGGCGAGGACCGCGAGCCGGGAAGATACACAAGCGGCGTCGGCCTCGCGGCAACCAGCAGGGAGTCCGCCACCGTCAGCACGGACCCCGCAGGGAACGTGCCGGTCAGCACAAGCGCACCGTTCAGCGCCTCCACATCGCAAATCGACAGCTCCACCGGCCCGCTCTCGTCGCTCCCCGCCGACACCGCACCGCGCAACGCTCCACCGCCCATCAAGTACAGCACGGCACCGTTCAGCAGCGACACGTTCTGCACAACGATCCGCACGCCGTCTCGCGCCATCCACGGCACGTAGAGCACCGGACTCACGCCGTCCAGCACAACGTGGCGCAGCGTCACCTCGCTCGCACCGGCAGGCACAACGAACACCGACCGCACCGTCACGCCCTCGCGGACAAACACACTCAGCACAGTGCCCATGGCAGGCGGCAGCGCGGGAGCTCCCACAGGCACGCACGCCTCGCCGTACCCGCCGCTGCCGCACGCGCACACGCACACACCGTTCCTCATGCTCGCAGACACCGTCCCGGGCGCGTAGCAGTAAGTGTCCCTGTCGCAGTCGTCGCACCCAACAACGTCGATGCTCCCAGCGTCGCCAAAACCAGCCGCTGCGTACTCCTCCGCCGTCGACAGGACACGCCCACCAGCGTCGTTGCACGCCACCCTCAAATGCGCCCCAGCCGCAAGCGACAGGCTCAGCGATAGCATCCGCGGCAGCAGCGCTCGGTTGCGCACAAAGCTCAGCGTGCTCCCAGCAGCGGTCACGGCGCCAGTGGCGTAGAGCATCTCCCTCGAGACGCCGTCGTGCACGTTGCCCTTCGCCAGCAGCATCGACCCGTCGGCCAGACTCACCGTCGAATAAAACGCCACCGCGTAGTCCTCCGTCGACACAAAGTCGCTCCGCACAAGCGCCACTGCGGAGGCCGACACGCTCACAGCCCCACGCACAGACACCGC